GTACTGATGGGGTTTTGGTGTAGGTGTCCTCCTGCTCTGACAGCTTTCATTAACAGGATCCTCAGCTGTAGGTTGTAGCTGTAGGAGATTGCTTGAGGTCCACACTCAGACCCTGTTTGCCTGGGTATCAGCAGCAGAGCTGAAGATAGAATATTTCTGAACAGTGAGTGGGACTGTCTGATTCTTGCTTTGAAAGCTTCCTCTCAGGGGTGTACTCCACCCTGTGAGGTATGGGTGTCAGACTGCTCCCTAGTGGGGGATGTTTCCCAGTTAGCTACCTAGGCCAGGGACCCACTTGAGCAGGAGTCCCTTCTCGTAGATCTCAACTCGTGTTGGGAGATCCACTGCTCTCTTCAAAGCTGTTGCAGGTGAGTCGCTTATGCCTGCAGAGCTGCTGCATTTGTTATTGTTTACTGTGCCTCTGTCCTGGGAGGTGGAGTCTACAGAGACAGGTTTCCTTTGAGCTGCCGTGAGCTCCACCTGTGTTCGAGCTTCCCAGCAGCTTTGTTTACCCACTTAAGCCTCAGCAATGGCGGGCGCCTCCCCCAGCCTCCGCTGCTGCCTAAGCGCGGTAGATCACAGACTGCTAAAAGCAGCAATGAGAGGCTCCGGTGGGTGTGGGACCTCCCTTGCCAGGTTAATATGACTTCCCAGGCCCAGTTTGCTTAAAGCCAGTCTGGTGGGAGTTGGGCCCACTGGGTGCTGTGTGTCTCAGTTCCCTGGCCAGGAAAAGGATTCCTTCCCTTGCGCTTTCCAGGTGAGGCAATGCCTCGCCCTGCTTTCAGCCTCGCCGGGTCAGGCTGCAGAGCTGACCAGCACCGATCACCGCCCACTCCCTGGTGAGATGAACCCCTGTACCCCAGTTGAAAATGCAGAAATCACCGGTCTTCTGTAATGTCGCTGGTGCAGTTGGAGACTGGAGCTGTTCCTATTCGGCCATCTTGCTCCGCCCCCTCACTTTCTAATATTAAACCTATTTTGCACTCCTAGGATAACTCTTATTTGGTTATAATGTATTATCTCTTAAATATATTCCTTGATTCAATTTGAAAATATTTTTGAGGATATTTATACCTAAGTTCATGATGAATTTTAGATTGTAGGGTTTTTGTTTTGGTTTGGTTTGCTTATTTTCTGTTTTTGAGACAGTTGCCCAGGCTGGAGTGCAGTAGCATGATCGTGACTCACTGCAGGCTCAACCTCCTAGACTCAAGTGATCCTCCTGCCTCAGTCTCATGAGTAGCTGGGACTACAGGCATAAGCCATTGAATTTGGTCAGATTGTACCTTTTTTTCTTATACTATCTTTGTGTGGTTACAGTGTTAGGGTAATATTGCTCTCATAGAAAGAATTGGAAAACGTCCCTTCTTCTCCTGTTTTCTGGAAGAGCTTGTGTAGAGTTGGTGTTATTTTTTCCTTAAATGTTTGATTGAATTTGTCATTGAAGCTTTCCTCTCCTGGAATTTTCTTGATTGGAGGTTTTAAGTATTCACTTAATTTCTTTAATAGATACATGAATATTTGGCCTATCTATTTCTTTTTTAGAGATCCTCGATACTTTGTGTTTCAAGAAATTTGTTTATTTTCTTTAGATAGGACTTTTATGGATATAAAGTTGCTCATAATACTTGCTTATTACCTATTTATTGCCTGCAGGATCCGTAGTTATTTTCCCCTCTTTTATTCCTGACTATTGATTATTTGTGTATTCTCTGTTATTTTTTTATCATGTTACCAATTTTATTTATTTATTAAAACCAGCTTTTAGTTTCATTGATTTATTCTGTCAGTTTTCTGTTTTCAATTTTACCGACTTCTGTTCTTTATTTCCTTCCTTGTTCTTGCTTTAGGTTAATATTGTTCTTTTTCTAGTTTTGTCAAGTAGATTTGATCACTGTCTTGATAGCTTTCTTTCTAGTGTAACCATAAATACTACCCACTTTTTCTTTCAGTACTACTTAAATATATCCTACAATTTTATTGTATTTTTATTATCATTCAATTCAAAATATTTTCTAATTATTCTTATGATTTCCCCTTTGACTTACGGGTTATTTAGTGTGTTATTGAATTTCCAAATGTTTGTGTAGTTTTGAGGTATTTTTCTGTTTTGGATTTCTGGTTTAATTTTGTTCTGGTCAGAGATCATACTCTGTATAATTTGTGTTCTTTTGAATTTGTTGAAGTTTATTTTATGGCCTATTTTACCTATTTAATAAGTATTAATTACTTATTTGTATATAACAAATTACCCCAACACTTAATGGCTTCAAATGAGAACCACTTATTTGCCCACAGCTTCAGTGGATCAAGAATATGGGAGTGGCATAAGGATGGTTCTGGCTTAGGATCTCTGATGAGGTTGCAGTTAAGATATAGGCTAGGGTTGCAGTCATCTGAAGGTTTCACTGAGGTTGGGGGATTCACTTCCAAGATTACTCACTTACATAGTTGTTGCTATTAGCAACTTAAGTCCCCCTGGGGATCCTTGCCCTGCGGGTCTCTCCATAGGTTTAAAAGATATTTTTCCTTCATTTTGGAAGGTGTTTTCACTTCGTATAGAATTCTGGGTCAACAACTTCTCCACTCTCCTAATATTCTAATAATTTAAAGATATAACTTCGTAATATTTTATCTTGCATAGCCTTTATTGAGAAGTATGCTGCAATACTTTTCCTCTATATGTAATATGTTCTTTTTCTTTAGCTGCCTTTAATTTTTCTTTTTATTGTATGTGTCCTCTCTGAGGCAGCCAAACACTGCATTGCATTGTAGTGGGCCTTGTGTGGGAGACAGCTTCTTGTCCCTTTTCCAGTAGTTGGAAATCTTTACTTGGTATTAGCATAGGATCCTAGCCCAAGATGGTATCCTACTTCTCTCTCAGGGGGAGAGTTTTTTAATTAACCACTTCCCCCATCACCACCCCCCAATTTGTTTCGTGATTTGTGCCCTGTGAGTGACAGAATTTGTTGCCCCTCCCCAGCAGCATACGGTTTTTGAGCCCTTATGAAAAAAGGGCCCATGCAGACCTTATGTCTTTCACATGATGGCAGTTACTCCTCTCCTCCAGTCTGGCTTCAATGTGGAAAGCACTTTCTGATCCTGTGCCATGCCCCAATCTTTCTGCCATGAGCACCTGGAGGTGGTGCATGGAGAAAAATCTGCAAAGTTTCCTCTCAGATTTTATTTTCAAGTATTTTAAACCTGCAGAAAATTTGCAGAAATAATACAATGAACATCTGTTTACCCAACATCCATATTCACAAATGTTAGTTATTTGGCCACATTTTCCTTATTGCTGTCTGTGTATCTATACATGATAGATTATTTTCAAGACTGACTATAATAACTCTTCCCAATTCTTTATAATTTTATTTTACCATTCTACTCATTAAGAGGTAGAATATCTCCCTGTCCTTCGAATCTGGGTTTTTACATTAAAAAAGTATTTTACATTAAAAAAGTATTAACTTTCCTTAAAGCAACCTAAGTGCTTATCAACAGGTGAATGGGTAATGGAAATGTGGTACTTATACACAATGGAGTACTGTTCAGCCATAAAAAAGAATGAGATCCTGTCATTTACAACAATATGAATGGAACTGGAGGTCATTATGCTAAGTGAAATAGGCCAGGCACAGGAAGACAAACATTGTATGTTCTCACTTATTTTGGGATCTAAAAAGCAAAATAATTGAACTCATGGAGATAGAGGGTAGAGGCTGGAAAGGGTAATGGGAGGGTGTTGGGGAGATGGGATTGGTTAATGGGTACAAAAAAGTGGTTAGGAAGAGTGAATAAGACCTCGTATTTGATAGTACAACAGGGTGACTATAGTCAACAATAATTTAATTGTACATTTTAAAATAACTAAAAGATTATGATTGGATTGTTTGTAACACAAAAGATAAAAGTTTGAGGGAATGGATATCCCATGTTACATGATATGATTGTTATACATTGCATACCTGTATCAAAACATCTCATGTAACTCATAAATATATATACCTACTATGTACCCACAAAAATTTAAATAAAAAGTTTTAAAAATTATTTACTTTCCTTAATTCACAGAACAAAACTTTTTAAATCACAGTCGGCTAAGAAACTTCAAAAAAACCTCCTAGTCTTCTAGCAAACAATCAGAAATTGCATGACTTATTTGCAGCAGACACATTACCTAGAGTCTGTTTGAGAGCATATTACCAAAGAGTCTTATCACTGATTCTTAGTCTCTTGGTCTTATGAGACTAATTATAGTTTTGAAGATTGTGTGTGTATGTTCATGTAAGTTGTATTTACATATTCTTTTACTGTATAATTGGTATTTATTGTTTTCTTTCCACACAGATAATTATCTGACACATATATGGGGGCCAGAGGGTAGCATCAGGTCATGCTGCCATTATTTGTAACTGTTTGCTAATTAAAATCGTATCTCCCCTAACTTCTTTTTATGGACCTTACCAAATGTGAAAGCAGAAACATTAATTGTAGAGTTTCTTCTCTCCGTATATTTAGGAATATTTGATTGGCTACTCTCCATGAAAAATTATTCTCCAAGCCACTGTAACAAGCCCCCGGGTTATATATTACATGTAGAGATTAGATAGGAAATTTAATAAAATAGATTTTATACTTTTAAAAGATGTTATAAATATATCAGTGTTATATTCAAATGAGAAAAGATATATGATATGACTCTTTTATATCAGAGGAATAGATATAGACTCTACTTCTATTACTTTTAAAAATAAAAACACTAATGGCTATTTTTTTTTGCATATGCAATGTGCTAGGCATAAGTCTAAGTACTTCTTCTGTCTCTTTTAATGCTTACTCAAAGCCTGTGAGGTAGGTAGTATTATTTTCTCTGTTATAGAGATGAGGAAGTAAAAACAACAGGTGAGGAAATTCTAGAGGAAATGGTAAAAATTACCAAATATGAGTTATTTTTTTAGTATCAATGCTTATATATGTGAATTTATTTTACCTTATAGCTGATGAAGATATGGATATGAATACATTGACAGGGGTTGTGAAGATGCTTAAAGGTGAGCAAAAAATTTCCATGTGAAGATTGATAAAAGCAGTATGCTCCTTTCTGTATTTTTCTCCATTTTTGTTTATCCTTGTATTTTATTAATATGCTATTTTTACCATTTACTAAAAATGGTTAAAAATTAAAAGGTACAGAAAGGCTAAAAATAAAATGAAACACATCCTTATTCTATCTTTTCCCACCTCCAGTCACACTTCCCTTGAGAAAACCACTTCTGAATGCTTCTGGTTTTGGTTCTTTTAATCACTTCTATAGATTTAAATAATATGTTTATAGTACTATATACTGATTTATTTATAGTAGTGACTTTCAGATCTTTTGGTGTTCAGACTCTTTCATTCTTAAAAATTACTGAGGATCCCAAAGAGCTTTAGTTTATGTGAGTTGTATCTGTTGATATTTACCATACTACAACTGAGAAAATTGTACAACATTTATTTAATGATTTGTTTAAAATAATATTAGTAAACCAATTACATGTTTACATAAATTTCATGCTTTCATTAAAAATATTTTTTTCAAAAAATTTAATGAGAAAAGGAGCATTATTTTACATTTTTGTCAATCACTTTAATGTCTAATTGGAATCTTATATCTCCTTCTGTGTTTAATCTGTTATGATAGGTTGTTTTGGTTAGTATATGATGAAAATCTGGTCTTACATAAATATATAGTTGGAAAAGAGAGAAGAATTACCTTTTCAGATAATGGTGAATATTCTTCTTTGAGATTACACCAAAACTCCACTAGTGGCAGTTTCTTAAAGGTTAATTGCAATGTAGACTCCAAAAACCTATTAGTGAACTTTTTATACTTTATGTTAAAATCAACTTGGCTGTTTTGCTCATTAACCAGATTTTTAAAAATACTTGTATAATTATTTTTTATAATTATTTTGTTATTTGGAAAATATAGTCATGCATTGCTTAATGATGGGGCTACATTCTGAAAAATGCATTGTTACGTAATTTTGTCATTGTGCAATTTTGTCATCATGAGAACATCGCAAGTTTACTTACACAAATCTAGTATGATGTAACCTATTACTTGGAGACTATTGCTCACAGGCTACAAACCCATACAGCTTGCCACTGTACTGAATACTATAGGCCATTGTAACACACATGGATATTTGTGTATCTAAACATAAAAAGGTTTAGTAAAATTACAGTATTATAGTTATATGGGACTACTACAGAATATGCAGTTCATCATTGATCCAGACATCATTTTGTGGTGCATAACTATACTGGATCATTGAGGTTTATAGAGCTTCCAAATGTTCACACATTTCACTACATATTTAAAGAGATCACATTCATCTGTATAACCACTAGTCTTTTAAGAAAGGTCTTTAACCTTTGGGAAGTTCTTAGGCTCATGATGGCAGATGCGAGTTCTCCAAAATTATTTTCATTTAAAAACTTGAATTTTATCGACAACAAACATTTTCAGTTGTTTTCCTTGAAGTCTGATGGGTTTGCTTTACTCATTTTCAAGATATCTTCCATTACTTCCTTTACTCATTTTCAAGACATATCCATGTCTGAATAAGTATAGTTTTCCTGTCATTCAGGTAAAAATGTTGTCCATGAAGAAAGCAGTTGGTTCAGCTCACAACTTAACACGGCATGCTTTTGCCCAAGAAAACTCTTTTTGTTCTGTATGTAGAAGTACTGTCTTTATTTCATCATACAAAATACTCAAAAGACATATAATTATCAAGGTATTCTTAAGTAAAATTGGTTTTTATTGTTTATTATTTTACCACAAATGCATGGCAGTGAAGAATATAATGACTACCAGCACTGCTTTGGTGCTTCTGCCTTGATTTGTAATCAGATGCCATCAGTTTTACACACTTTCGCTTTTGTATTATCAGTACAAATGTCAACACAATGAAAAAGGCAAATAATGTCTAATTACTGTTATGAAAATAGCTTTGACCTTGTGGGTCCCCTGAAAGGATCTTGGCAATTCCTGAGAGTCTGCAGACAACACTCTAAAATCTGCAGCTCTAGATGTTAGCTATTGACTCCCTGCTGCTGATGATGATGATTTCACTCCTGACATAGCTTCCACATCCCTTCCCTTTCTCAAGTTGTTATACTTAAGAGATTAGTTTCACTTCTTCTGTTCACTGAATTTGTAACTTTAAATAATAAACACTAGCCTTTCTTTCTTCTTCCATATCCTTTTGATAGTATCTCTTGACTCTCTACCGTAGAATCAAAGCATATTAGTACCTTTAATCCTCATTAACTTCAATTTCCAGAAACCTGTTGGTTTTACTCTTTCATTGTTAAAGTTATATAATTATATGTGTATATTTATGGATATATAATACATATATAATTTTTAAATGTACAGGTATAATTTTAAAGTATATCTACATAAAATTATGTCTCTACAGATATGTGTATATGTACTTATATGTATATATCTACAGCTATGTATATATGTATATGTACTTATATGTATATATCTAAGATATGTGTATATGTATACTTTTAAAGTTTCTAAGTTTATTAGTGGTTTAGTAATGTAGTCACTTCTTTTAGTGTTATGAAATCTGTGCTACCCAAAGGAGAATATCCTGATGTCCTGAGTTCTTCCTTTTTATCAGTATCAATACCTCAGTGTTATGTCACATTTTAGTTTAAGTTTTGTTCATATGTATACTATAAATTTTTTTCCTGAAATTTCTACTGGGGTTTCTTTTTCTTTTTTTCTTGTCAAATGATGGAACCAGTGAGCTCTTGGCCACATTAGTAACATCTTCCAGCTTCTTACTCATTCCATATAATGGGTTCTATTCTATTATATTGTCTATAATGATAGTTTATTTGGAAATATAATTCTAAGTACGATCTCATTTTCCTTCAGAATTTTAAAAAACGTGAACATTATTTATAAAAATCCAATGTAGCTGATGAGAAGTTTAATAACAACCTAAGATATGTTCCTTTTCTTTTTTCTTTTTTTTTCAAAACTGAGTTTTGCTCTTGTTGCCCACGCTAGAGTGCAGTGGTGGGATCTCGGCTCACTGCAACCTCCACCTCCCGCGGTCAGCGATTCTCCTGTCTCAGCCTTCCAAGTAGCTGGGATTACAGGTAGCCGCCACCACGCCAGGCTAATTTTTATATTTTTAGTAAAGTTGGGGTTTCACCATGTTGGCCAGGCTGGTCTCGAACTCCTGACCTCAGATAATCTGCCCACCTCATCCTCCCAAAGTGCTGGGATTACAAGTGTGAGCCACCACGCCTGGCCTGATTGTTATTTCTTTTCTCTTTGAGGCAAGACTTTTCTCCTTATCTTGGAAATCTGAAATTTTACGATGATGAGTTCAGTTGTGGATCTTTTTCATACATTTTGCTTAGAACTCTGGGGGCTTTCTAAACTTGAAGGTGCTTGTGTCTCTCTGAAGACCTATTTTGTTTTAAGTTTGGCAATCTTTTAATTTTTTTTCCAGAATCTTGAAGTTCTTACTAATAATTTTTAACTTCTAAGGGTGCCTCCTTTTTATTCATTTCACATAGTCTCACATTCATGCATTATGAGTATACTATCTTCCAGAATCTCTTTTAGCATATTAGAGATCTTTGTTGGTTTATATTATCTTTCCTTTCCTTAATCATCTATTTATGTAGTTAAGAATGAGAGACTGAATAGATCATACCTGGTAGCCAGTAAGAGTTTGTCTTGTTTTTGTATTTGTGGATTGGTTGAGCTCTTAGGTTTCCAGCATGAATAAAAGCCCTGTGTATGAATGAAATGAATGAAATGTGTTCTCTGCCAAGCTTTGCTTCAGAGAGAGAAGGTAAAGAGGCAACAGTTAGCTCAGAGACCCTTTAAATGGCAGAATTAGTTGGGCTTTATTCTCAGTCATGAAAATCCACCTTAACAGTTATGGTTTTCATTCTGTTGCTGGAGAGTTCTCCAGTATCTCGGTTAGGGAGTAAATGCTAAACTGCCTGTTCTGTGACTCAGGGATTTTGGAGAAGCAGAGGTTGAGACTGGTTGGTACAAATGTTCCATAGGCAGACTTTCATTTAATCTCTTTATTTTCAAATTTTCCCCTCTTCCTGGCTTCTTAATTTTAAACTTAGTACCTGCCAAAACTGAGCATTGAGCTTTTCTGGTTTTGTTTTTTTTTTTCTGGGCAAATTGGCTTCCTTCACATCTTTACTTCTATATACCTAGATCCTCCTCTTTTGAATAGTCTAGACTGTGGTTTCCTCCACTCTATTTTATCAATTTGTATTTACTTGTTTACTTCTTTGTTATATGTCTCCCCAAAGTAGTGTATAAACTACTTGAGACAGAGAATTTCTGTTTTGTTCGCTACCATATCCCTAGCACATAGGATAGTGCCTGGTACACAGAAGACACTAAACAATCAAATGTTTAATGAATGAATAAATAAATGAACATACTTTGCTTTCGTAAATACAAACTTCTTTTCTACTTATGCCCACATCTCCCCTTCCATATTTATTCTCTTTGAATTTATTATGAGTTTATCACCTTTTCCCCTTATTTTAATCATTTCAATTTTTTTAAAGGGATCTTGGCAAGAAAAGGAGAAAAGCATGTGTCTTCACTGCCAGCCTTTAGGGTTACTTATGAGAATATTTTTCATGGGAAGAAAAACTCCTGTTCTTTCATGTGTTCATCTACATTATGGCAGAAATCTTTTTTGTTTGTTTGTTTTTGGTAAGACTATAGAATTTGAAGATACTGAAAATGAAAAAAATTTTTATATTGCTAATGTGAACTTGGTTACAACCTAAATATCTATGGAAAAATCAACATGTGAAATATTTATTGTGATCAGGTGAATATAGTCAACAATGGTAACTAATATATGAAGTTAGTCTCAAATTAAGCCACTGCTTTTAGGTAAAATTTATATGGACTGATTGTCTATGTTATCATATAATGCCCAATAATTTTTACTGTGTCTTCAGCCATTCATTTATCATCACACACTGAAGCATAATGAAGGGAATGATTTCTATTTTAATTCTCATTATTCTAATAAACAATTCTCACTGTTTTTCTTAATGATAGTAAAGCACCATGTTTTCATACTTCAGACTCATTAGAAAAAATCATAATTTCTTGTTATGTACTTTTCTGTGTCTTCAAAGAAAAAATTGAGATCTGTAACCTGGACAATTTCCTGAAAGATATGGGGATTGAGGTTACATATGAAGAATATACGGAGCTGGTAAATCATCTCCCAACCAGTGGTGAGTATTTCATTTACTTTGGTGCCTTTCAAAGACGGCTTTGGGTTTAATTATAAGACATACTGATACTGCACTTTGAATTACTATAAAAGTAAACAGAAATATCCAGTACTAAAGGAGGGGATATGTTTGTGTATATATATATTTATTATTACTGTTATGATTTTTTTGAAATGGACATTCAGATTTTAAATAAATATTAAGATTGTTATACAGAAAGTATTGGGACCCTAAATGACACTGACTAAGCTGTATGGTCTCAGAAACATCATTAAGGTCATTGGAAGGTCAAAACATAGGCAGACAAAAGAAGAAATTTGGGGAATGGAGGTGAGGGAGGTTAAGATGAGGAATGAAAAGAGAAAAAATAAGTTTAAGTTCCATTTTACAAGTTATTAAGAACAACCTAAAGCAGTGTCATGAAATTCTAATTTACTTAGGTTCAACTGTCATAGTAATAAAGGTAGCTTTCATTTACACAATGCTTACTATCTAGTAGAGACTATGTTTACTTCACAATATTATTCCAAAAATACATGAAATAATATACATAATGTCTAAAATAAATCTTATTTTTCTTCCTATATATTGAATTATCAATGTCAGAATATACATGTAAAAAAAGTTGATGAGTTGTTTCTCCAATACAGTGGTGGAAGATTATAGCTATACACTAGTTTTTATATTAGTCCATTCTTGCATTGTTATAAAGAAATACCTGAGACTGGGTGATTTATAAAGAAAAGAGGTTTAATTGGTTTACAGTTCCATAGGAGGTACAGAAAGCATGAGCTGCTCAACTTCTGGGGAGGCCTCAGGAAACTTATAATTATGGCAGAAGGTGAAGGAGAAGCAGGCATGTCACATGGCTGAAGCAGGAGCAAGAGGTTGGGGAGGTGCTATGCACTTTTAAACAACCAGATGTCCTGAAAACGAACTCACTATCACAAGAACAGCATGAAGGGGATGGTGGTAAACCATGCATGAATATCGACCCCCATGATCCAGTCACCTCCCACCAGGCCCCAGCTCCAACACTGGGGATTACAGTTCAACATGAGATTTGATTGGGGCCACATATCTCAGCTATATCAGTTTTTAATGAGAAAGAAATAGGTCTAATTCTATCTCATTTGCTCATTTACTCATTTAACAAATACTTATTGAGGACCTGATGAATCAGGCCTGTTCCTGCCATCAAGAAATTGTATAGTTCATTTGTGGTGAGGGGGAAGTATATAAAGACAATTGGAAAGTAAAGTGTTAAAAGTGCCACAATTATTGAGAGTAAATATACAATAAATATTTGAGGAATGATGGAAGGAGGGAAAGTAGAAGGAAGGAAATAATGGTTACTCTCAGGTAACTGTAAGTGGTTAAATCTGATGAGGTGGTTTTTTTTTTAAAAAAAAAGGGCTGCTGCTACAAAAGTGGGCAAGGCAGTATTATACAGGAATTTTATCCTACAAGTAATAGTGTTGAGGGAGCCATTGAAGATTTTCTTGTTTGGGAGTGACATCATGTTTTGTCCTTTAGACTTTTTAGAGCCTTCAGGATAAATTTCATATACTTTTGCTCAGAAAAGTAACAAACAAAGAAAAACCTTATCGATCTTCTCTTAACTGTTATGTCCACCTCATTTCTCTCTCTCTCCTACCATACACTTCCAAGTCAGTGATGAAAATGAACTGGGCAGCTTGTTGAAAAAAATTTAAACATAGAAACACACACATACACACACACACACACACACACATGCACTTGAGATGATCATGTGATTTTTGTTTTAAAATTTTGTTTATGTGGTGTATCACATGTATTGACTTGCGTATGTTAGGCTATCTCTGCATCCCCGGTATGAAACTGACCTGATCATGGTGGATTATCTTTTGATATGTTGTTGGATTCAGTTAGCTAGTATTTTTTTAAGGATTTTAGCATCTATGTTGATCAAGGATATCGGTCTATAGTTTTCTTTTTTGGTTATATTCTTTCCTGGTTTTAGTATTGGGGTGATGCTGGCTTCATAGAATGAATTAGTGAGGGTTCCTTCTTTCTTTATCTTGTGGAATAGTGTCAAAAGTATTGGTACCAATTCTTTCAGTGTCTGGTAGAATTCTGCTGTGAATCGTCTGGTCCTGGACTTTTTTTTTGTTGGTAATTTTTAAATTACCATTTCAATCTTGCAGCTTGTTATTGGTGTGTTCAGGGTATTCAATTCTTCCTGATTGAAGCTAGGAGGGTTGTATTTTTCCAGGAATTTATCCATTGCCTCTTCTAGGTTTTCTAGTTTATGTGCATAAAGGTGTGCATATTAGCATTGAATTATCTTTTGTATTTCAGTGGTGTCAGTTTTAATATCTCCTGTTTCATTTCTTAGTGAGATTATTTGGATTTTCTCTCTCCTTTTCTTCATTAATCTTGCCAATGGTCTATAAATTTTATTTATTTTTTTTCAAAGAACCAGCCTTGTGTTTCATTTATCTTTTATTTTTTCTTGTTTCAACTTCATTTAGTTCTGGTCTGTTCTTGGTTATTTCCTTTCTTCTGTTGGGTTTGGCTTTGGTTTGTTCTTGCTTCTCTAGTTCCTTGAGGTGTGACCTTAGAGTGTCAGTTTGTGCTCTTTCAGTCTTTTTGATGTAGACATTTAGGGCTGTGAGCCTTCCTCTTAGCACCACGTTTGCTGTATCCCAGAGGTTTTGATAGGTTGGGTCATTATTGTCATTCAGTTCTAAGAATTTTTAAATTTCCATCTCGATTTTATTTTTGACCCAATGGTCATTCAGGAGCAGGTTATTTAATTTCCATGTATTTTCATGGTTTTGAAGGTCCCTTTTGGAGTTGATTTCCAGTTTTATTCCACTGTGGTCTGAGAGAGTGCTTGATATAATTTCAATTTTCTTAAATTTATTGAGGCTCATTTTATGGCCTATCATATGATCTATCTTGGAGAAAGTTCCATACACTGTTGAATAGAATGTGTATTCTGCGGTTGTTGGATGAAGTGTTCTTTATGTATCTGTTAAATCTATTTGTTCTGAGATATAGTGTCAATTTTTTGTTTATTTACTTTCTGTCTTGATGACTTCTCTAGTGCTGTCAGTGGAGTATTGAAGTCCTCCACTATTATTGTGTTGCTGTCTATCTCATTTCTTAGGTCTATTAGTAATTTTATAACTTTGGGAGCTCCAGTGTTAGGTGCATATATGTTTAGGATTGTGATATTTTCCTGTTGGACAAGGTGTTTTACCATTGGATATTGTCCTTCTTTGTCTCTTTTAACCACTGTTGCTTTAAAGTTTGTTTTGTCTGATATAAAAATAGCTACCCCTGCTCGTTTTTGGTGTCCATTTGTATAGAATGCCTTTTTCCACCCCTTTGCTTTTATGTGAGTCATTATGTGTTAGTGAGTCTCCTGAAGGCAGCAGATATTTGATTGGTGAGTTCTTATCCATTCTGTGGTTCTGTATCTTTTAAGTGGAGCATTTACCATTTACATTCGATGTTAATATTGAAATATGAGGTACCATTGCTTTCATCATGCTCCTTGTTGCTTGTGTACTTTGTGTTTTTTGTTTTGTTTGTTTGTTTGTTTTTTGCTTTTTAACTTGTATTTTTGTGTTATAGGTCCTGTGTGATTTGTGCTTTAAAGAGGTTCTATTTTGATGATGCTTTTTTCAAGATTTGTTTTAAGATTTACAGCTCCTTTTAGCAGTTCTTGTAGTGGTGGTTTGGTAATGGCAAATTCTCTCAGCATTTGTTTGTCTGAAAATGGTTGTATCTTTCCTTCATATATGATGCTTAGTTTCACTGGATGCAAAATTCTTGGCTGATAATTGTTTTGTTTGAAGAGACTGAAGATAGGTTCCCAATCCCTTCTGGTTTGTAGGGTTTCTGCTGAGAAGTCTGCTGTTAATCTGATAAGTTTTCCTTTACAGGTTACCTGACGCTTTTGTCTCATAGCTCTTAAGAATCTATCCCTCGTCTTAACTTTGGATAACCTGATGACAATGTGCCTAGGCAAAGATCTTTTTGTGATGATTTTCCCCAGTGTTCTTTGTGCTTCTTATATTTGGTTGTCTAGGTCTCTCGCAAGGCTGGGGAAGTTTTCCTCAATTTGGATTTGGATTTCCTTGCATTGGGCTTCACCTTTCTGTGGTCCCTCCCTGACTAGCTTAATAGCTAACCTCTTGAATTATTTTTCAGGTAAATCAGGGATTTCTTCTGGGTTTGGATCCATTGCTGGTGAACTAGTGTGATTTTTGAGGGGTGTTGAAGAGACTTGTTTTGTCATATTACCAGGGTTGGTGTTCTGGTTCCTTCTCATTTGGGTAGGCTCTGTCAGAGGGAAGGTCTAGGGCTGAAGGCTGTTGTTCAGATTCTTCTGTGCCATGAGGTGTTCCCTTGATGTAGTACTCTCCCCCTTCTTTCCCTAATGTAGCAGGAAGAGTTGCGGACAAAACCCCTCAGGCACCGAGTTAAAGAAGAAAGGGGTTTATTCAGCTGGGAGCGTTGGCAAGACTCCTGTCTCAAGAGCCGAGCTCCCCGAGTGAGCAATTCCTGTCCTTTTTTTTTTTTTTTTTTTTTTTTTGAGACGGAGTCTCGCTCTGTGCCCCAGGCTGGAGTGCAGTGGCGCGATCTCGGCTCACTGCAAGCTCCGCCTCCCGGGTTTACGCCATTCTCCTGCCTCAGCCTCCCGGGTAGCTGGGACTACAGGCGCCCGCCACCATGCCCGGCTAATTTTCTTGTATTTTTAGTAGAGACGGGGTTTCACTGTGTTAAGGGTTCACAACTCTAAAGGGTTCTGTGTGAGAGGGTCGTGACCGATTGAACGAGCAGGGAGTATGTGACTGGGAGCTGTATGCACTGGTAATCAGAACCGAACAGAACAGGACAGGGATTTTTACAATGCTTTTCCATACAATGTCTGTAATCTATAGATAACATAACCAGTTAGGTCAGGGGTCGATCTTTAACTACCAGGCCCAGGGTGTGGCGCC